AAAAAACTTCAAAACACAATATAATTTCTTTCACAGTTTCCAGGTGCACACATTTGACCAATAATGAAGCAGATACGAAGCATCAACGTATTCAACAAAAGAATGAAATTGCAGCTAAACTAACCAGAAGCTTAAATGAGCATCAATAAAATATATCTACTTCCATAAGAAGCAGAATAATCTTTCAGAGATTTAATTCAGACCACAAGAATACAACATTAACAGGTAACCACCACCAAGAAATTAAAATTCCGATTCATGACTCAACAGCTATCAGAATCTAAACAACGCGATCGAGACCATATCAGAAACTTTCCAAAAAAAAAAAAAAAATTGCCAACCAATGCGAGCTCGTTCTGTGAGTGTGTGTGTGTGTGTGTGTGTGTGTGTTTGTGCGTGCGTTGTTGGGGAAAAGGGATAATAAGGGCAGAGAGCACAAAATTGTCGATAACGATGGACCTTGAGAGCGCGGATACGAGAAGACGCCACTCTGTGCATACTGCAAATGCTGTTATCTGTCGGTGAATTCGAGAAAACGTTCTGTGGCTGCAAGCAAATACAGAAGAGAGGAGGAAGAAGGTAACGGGCAATGAGGATCCCTACACCTGACCTGAGATTCTTCTTTCTATTGGGCTTCACACGAGCGAAATATGTACGAGTCACCTCGTCAATGAGTACATGCTATTTTGATTTTTTTTTGTAGATGATTCATATTTTTTTTTTTTGGCCGGAACGATAGAGGTGATATAAATTAAAGTGCACAACAGTGCAAAAAAGCAGCCCAAAGCTGAATAATACAACCAAGAACTAAAAACTGAGAGGACGGATCGAAAGTCCACCTAAAGCCTCGCTAGCCACGCTAGAAAAGAGAACTACTACACACAACTAAAAGACATCAACACAACTAAGATCGCTCCCCACAGGAGAATAGGATCGCCCTCCACGGGAGAATTAGCACAGAGGCCAATGGCCCAGACCAAAAATACAATACATAACACTCAGGCAAAGAGCCCAGACCAAAAATACTGAACTAAACAGACTCAAACAATATCAAAAACATTAAAACACACAAAAAGCTCTCCCTCTGCAGCAAATCCAACCAGACTAGCAGCCACAAAATCAACCCTAGGAACCTCGCCACTTGAGAATAGATGATTCATATTAATAAATTGGATTATATACATTAATTATATAATAAAAATAATAATTATTTAAAAACTCATATAATTATTAATATATTCATATTAATAGATTGGAATATATAGTCATCCCCATATATAAAATTCCCGACCTATATATAGCTCCCGAATGTGCTGAACTTAAGTGGTAGGCTCGCATGTTTCGGAATCTTATCTGTCAAAATTCCATACTTTATTATTTGGGTTGGATAGATTTTAATTTAATTCCAATCTAAAAATAATTAAGTTTGGATTATTATAAATATGTTGATTTATTTATGATCATTTTGGTTGTATTAATTGTATTTTAATATCATTTCCTATTATAACTATTGAATTGTAAATGTATTTTAAAAGTTGATAATTTTTGTATTTCTTATCGGTTTCACATATATAATATATCAAATTAATCATCTTTTGATTTTTTATGAGTTTCGATTTGACATCTATATCGTATATATAAAAATAAATAAATTATATTTTATATTCATAATAATAAAAAATATTAATTAAAATTAATTATAAAAATAAAATTATGTCTCAAGCAATATATTTATGTTTAATGTAGATGTTATGAGTTAGAAAAATTTATATAGTATAACACAAATAAGTCGCACAAATAACAAGTGTCATACTAATATATATATATATATATATATATATATATATATTTATAAAAGGTATTTAAATTTTCAACTACTTTTTCTCATTAATTTTAAATTTTAAGAAAAAAAATTTAGCAAGCAACCGTGTAATACACGGGCGTTGTACTAGTTAATTAAATAAAACCCATAAATTTTACCTCATAAATTATATTTACGTGATACTTAATTTTTTAAAATTGATTCTGTTAATTAAGACAAATCATTACATTTTATATTAATTGAGTAATAATTATATTTTTTGTTGTGTCATATAATAGTTATTATTGAAATTAATAGTTATATTTTACACTAAATAATATATGAAATTTACATAAACATAAAAAATTATTTTGTAAAACTTTTTGTTTAAGTTATTTATTATAAAATAAATATTATATTTTTTTTATCTAATAAAGCGATTGTTTTTAAATAAGTTAATTTATTTTAATGGTATAGTAAAATCTCTTAAAATCGCGCATTTTTAAGCAAATTAATTTGTCATGCTCTCTATGCTCTATCAAAATTACATAGTGATTCATATACAATTTAGTTATGTACAATTTGTTTTAACCAATGACCAAGTTTTAAAACACAATACCATTATCTAACTTATACTTATACTATTATATACATAAATATAATGTATAATACTCTGTTTAAAATTTAACACTATTATCTAACTTATAATTTAATTATATGTATATAAATTTATTATACTTTATTATATATGTGCAAATGCACATGGTCGAATGTTAGTTATAACTGAATTAACAGACATTTGGATGCCAGACTTTGCAATTCTCAGCGCAGCCCAAAGTGATTGGTTGGAGTTCAAGTCTTGCACACATGGGACTGAGCAACAGTGAAGAAGCATAAGATCACTAGGTCATGTTTGGTAGTGTCTTTGTCTTTTTACTGCATTGTTGTTTTGTCTTGCTTGGTTGTGTTTCTCCGTTTTATTTAGTGAAGTTAAAGGTTGCAGGTTATTTGCCTTTAGCTGTTTTTTTGCTTTGGAGTATCATGCAGTAGTTGTTTTGTTGATATCATTTTCAGTAAGCCGGATTAAGTGACATTAATCCGTTGATTGAGATCAGTATAATGGCAATTAGGGCTCAT